TTAAGCCACACTTATTAGGCGGCACTCATCAACCAGATCACAGAATCAGACATCACTGCGAGACCGCTCGCGGCGACGCCACTTGTAGCGCGACATAGATTCTCGAATCTTTGTATTCTAGTACTCTGCTTTTGTGGTTTGCCCACGACCACGTTTGACTGACCATCGTACATTCACACATAGCCGACTTCGCCCATTCTCTAAAGGGTTTGGCACTCTAGGCTGACCACGCCCACTGGCTTTTCGCGGAATCTCGATGTTTTTTTCAAAATTTTTGCATTTTAGGGTTGCTGCGTGAAGCCCCGCCCACTGTGAGATGCTCCGCCCACTTTGAATAAGCCCCGCCCACTTTTCAAAAATGGTGCAAATCGGCAGTATAGAGACTTGGCTTGCATGCTAGGGTATTGCTGATCATTCGGAATAAACTTTGCCGGATTTTCTTGTTCCGAGTGACGTACGAGACCCTAACATGCAAGCCAAGTCTCTATACTGCCGATCTGCACCATTTTTGAAAAGTGGGCGGGGCTTATTCAAAGTGGGCGGAGCGCAGTGATGTCTGTCGTGATCTGGTTGATGAGTTGCCCGCCCTAATAAGTGTGGTTAACTTGATGAAAAGTGAGGGTGAATTTGGTTTGAAAAGGGACGAATTTGGTTTGAAAAAGGACGAATTTAAAGTGAAAATGGTATATATAATATATATATATATATATATATATATATATATATATATATATATATATATATATATATATATATATATATATATATATATATATATATATATATATATATATATATATATATATATAATTAGCTTTGTTTGTTTGTTTGTTTGTAAGTTTGTCTGTCCGGTAATTCGGTTCGACCTGAAGAACGACTTGGAGAGGTCCAGTCAAGGTGGGAATAGGTAGGGTATGGACGAAATAAAAAGCGCACTTGTTAGCCCTGACCTATGGGAAGCCCCGCCCACAGTGGGCGGGGCACTCGCCGAAAGTTTGGGGTTCCGCAGAAAAATGTTCATAATTCGCTTCCGGAGCAGCTTAAAGATGGGGAAAAAGGGACTAAGGTTAGTAAGGAGTCGCCAGACTAACTGTGGCAGGTACACCCTAAATGGGCGGGGCGTACTCAAGGTGGGCGGTGCTTCTCGCAAAATTCAGTAACCCGGTTCGCGAGAGTGTTTGGAAGTCGCAAAAACTCAGTAGAATGTAAATATCCGGCGAATATAGGGCACGCTCAAAGTGTGTTGAGACCCGCCCACAGTGGGCGGAGCTTGCCCTAAATCGCAGGATACTCATTTTTAAAGTTTGTAGCTCGTCGCAGGGAATTGCAAAGACGCGGGAAATTGTTTCATCAAGGTCGGCAAAGGGTTCCGGTGAGGACGTGGGGCAGGTGGAACCTTAGTGGGCGGCCTGCTCCGTTTGGGAGTCAGACGAAAAATTTGTAAAACAGTTTCAGAGCACTCCAGACACGGGAAAAAAGTGGATTAAGGTCAGCAGAGGGTTGCCGATTGAGAAATGTGGGGTATACATATTGTGGGCGGGGCCAGCCCGAGGTGGGCGGAGCCAGACGAAAATTCTCTAAAACTGTCCCAGAGCACTTCAAAGACCGGAAAAAACGTGGATTAAGGTCAGCAGAGGGTCGCCGGTGAGGATTGTGGGCAAAACATTGTGGGCGGAGCCTGCTCCGAGGTGGGCGGAGTCAGAAGAATCTGTAAAATAGCTCAAGAGTACTTCAGACACCGGAAAAAAGTGGAGTACAGAACAAAAGGCGGATATCAGTTGAGTCTAGAAATATGTGAAAGAAAGGCGCGGCGAAGGCGGCGAATGGCGACTTATAGCCAGAGACAAGGATTATATTAGACTAAAGTGAGAGTGACGTACGAGCTTGGATCACTGGTTCTACGAGAGAACAACTATGAATCCCTAAAAGTATAAGTACCATACGTATCGTTTGATTATATTCTATGATCGATGCTTTCCCTTCTTTCGGTCACTCCTTTTCTCTTTTCTTCTCACTATATTATATATCTGCTATTAGCTAAATATAGATGTGAAGCGTTTGCTCTCCTGTCACTACGCCTCGTTTGGAAACTCGTCGGAGGCCATCCCTGCAGTATAATTTTCCAAGAAAAAACATTTGCTAAAATGATGACAAACTTTTTTTTCGGCAATATTCAATACTAACTTGTGCTTCCTGTGCTTTTTATGCTTCTTGTGCTTTTTCTCCCTTTTCTTTGAACTTCCTCGATCTTCATCATCTACTGTGTGGTCTTCAGCTACAGTATCCTTCTCCTTATCCGTGGTATCTTCCTTAGTTACTAGAGTAGAATGAGTACATCGGCTCAGACGACGTCGCAGGGTTCTTTCATTATTGCTCACTCCACTGCTTCAAGACAGCGGTCTGCAACAGAGGAGTACCACTTATTTGAGTCACGTACACGATTGCATATTGTAAGTGGAAATATTTAGTTAGAATCTTGAAACTGTTAGGTGACTTCCCAATAAATAAAAAGCAAGAAGAAAAATGGTAACGCTCTCAATGAAGCTCCCTATCAAGGTATCACTGTACGAGTTCCCAGGGTTTCCTGATTTCGTGCCAGCAAATTAATACCTACCACATCTAGGCACTCTGACTAACTATGGCTTCTTTGCACTATCTAACAGCGCTGCAAAAGCCGGTGAGCTAGCGATCCCCGTAAAGAACACCTACTATCACGCCTCTATGGTCCATAACATTGCGAGCTATGGGCAACGCTATGGGCAATGAAGGCGCAGTGAGGGCGCCACCTCACGCCTTAATGGATTCAGTGACTGCGACTGGTCGCCCTCAGCTTGTTGGATCGCTGCGACGCTCAGAGGAATTCTGTTTCGGATGTAACTGACCATGAGCTGTCAGTTGCAGCAGACCTAAAAACAGGGATGGAAGCTATCGTAGCAGCGCGGCGATCTGCTCACCTAAAAGTGAAACACTAGCGTCGCTGAAGACCGAATACGGTCTAAATTTAATCCATAAAGTCGTCCTTCGTCGCCTTGAGCTGCGTTCTATACTTTGGGCGACGACAGACAGTGAACAAGGCAGGACGTTTTGGAAAAATAAGTGTCTCTCAAAATGTTGAATCTGATCGAGCATACTTTCACAACACCCAATCGCCAATTCTCACATTCTCCTAGTAGCTAGATCGTATATATACCATATTCAATCTGAATTCACGACCTTTCAAACCAAATTCGAGACTATTCAAACCAAATCCCAAACTCAGTTAAACGTGCCACACCTAGGCAACTGCAGGCTACGCCCACATTCAGCGTGGTCATGGTTTTTGAAATTTCTTGCAACTTATCGCTTAAAGACACATAGTACGCTCATACACATTGAGGGTGTATGAGACTATCAGCCCCCCAGATGTCGATGTGTCGTGGTCCCCCCGCCCAAACATGCCCAGGAATGGAGATACAGGCCGTGAAACAACGTACAATTCTTCCATGCTCCGCCCACTGCCTTTTTACGGCGCAGATTCCCGCCGTTGATAACATCCGTTGCAAGCGCGCCTGTCGCGTGCGGCTCCTTGGCACTTTGCCAAGTCCTTTAATTGCGCTCTCAAATACGAGTAAACGCAAATTTCCTGATGGCGGATACCATTGAGGTGCTACAAATAAGAGGCAACAAAGATGATGACGAGGGTCAGAACCTAAAAGCGACTGTGCCACTTCTGCAACATCCCTCGGAGGCCACGTATTTCCACGAAACATGAAAATAAAAACTAAAAACGTGTGCATGTGCATACTCGTAGGCTTTAATAAGAGCAAGAACGCAATTTCTTGATGCGAATCAAAATTTTAAGGTGTTGCTTCATCTTCTAATGCCATGTACAAGGAGATGAAGATGACACAGGCTAGAAATGAAGCACAACGATGTAAATGTAAACAAAACAAAAATGAAAAAATCAAGGAAAGGCAAATTAGATAAACTGGCCTGTAAATTTCTACGATCCGGCGCCAAAGCCATAGAAATACTTAGAACAAACGAGTGGGACGCTTTGGCTTTTTTATTTTCATGTTTGGGAATGCGCGGCCTTGAATGGATCCTTTCAGATGCAGCGAGTTTTGCTCTTGGTTCTTGCCCCGTTGTCATTCATCTTCTGCTCTTATTTGTAGCATCTCCAATGTTACGCATCAAGAAATTCGTTTTCTTGTATTGAAGCGCAAATTAAAGACTTGCAAATGCGACCAAGGAGCCGCACGCGACAGGCGCGCTTGCAACGGATGTTATCAACGGCGGGAATCTGCGCCGTAAAAAGGCAGTGGGCGGAGCATGGAAGAATTAGCGTGTTTCACGGCCCTGTATCTCCATTCCTGGGCATGTTTGGGCGGGGGGACCACGACACATCGACATCTGGGGGGCTGATAGTCTCATACACCCTCAATGTGTATGAGCGTACTATGTGTCTTTAAGTGATTCTTTTTGCTTTTTTTTGTCATTCCGCACATACACACTGAGGAGGGCTGTTCGTCGACGCTTGGGCAATTCCGCCCAATTTTTGAAAAAATTGTTGCAGTTTCGAGTTTTCATACTTTTTCTCAACTTCGTTAATTTCGATTCACTCTTCATACAACGAAGGCACTCCTAGACGTGCATTTCAGCAAAATATGGCTTCGTATCTTTAATTAAGCTCACTGCATGCTTTAGCAAAATTTTGATATTTCTTCAGAACTTTCACATTTTTGAACTGTTGCAGGATATCCCGTCCACAATGAGGAGCTCCGCCCATCTCGTAGAAGACCCGCCCGCTTTTTTGGAAGCGCCTAATTAACAGGTTAGAGTCTCGACTTGTATGTCAGAGGCTCGCTCGTCACACTAAGAAAAAAAATCGACAATAAATGAACTCGTTTTTGTTCTTGTAATGCGCCTTATTACCACCTTTGAAGGAGAAAGCGGTTCACTTTCTATTTATAAGAGCGACTGCTGTCAATTCACGTAACAGGTAATCGCGGAACGTATCTCTAAATTATCAGAGAGAAAACTTTTTCTGAGTGAAGATAATGGCTTACATCAACCGCTTCTTCCGGCGGGACTTCTGTATCTGTGACGCTCTTCTCATCTTCAGCCTCGGTCATAACATCTCTTACGACATCCGTATCATCAATGTCAAATTCAATTCCGTCGTCATCACAGTTGGCTTCTACTCGTACAAACTGAAATAGATATGGGCATCGAAGAAACAAGTCAAACACCTTCTTCAACACCCTGACCGTTTCGATGTAAAAATGAAAAGGGATTACCTCCGCTACTTCTCGAAGAGTGCCGTCTATAGCTTCCTCATCGGCGATTTCTCTCGCTACGTCTTCACTTTCTTGGAACCTTCTCGCTTTCGGCTCCTTTTCTGCTTTACGAGAACGGTAATTTGGATCATTCTTGAACCTGTCCTTCTTCTTACGTTTTTTACGGTCACTTGATGAAGCTGCCGGAGCGTTCTGGGGTGATGCTGATCGGCTTCTCGATTTTTCGCGTCTATCACCTCCAGAAGCACCAATAAAGGGCGGAGTAGTCACATCCAATCTCATAAGCGAAGGCAAAGGCTCCTCCTGGAATAGCAAATATATGAAATGATTAAAAACAAAACTGTAAAACACACCTCTTTCAGATTTCGACCTCGCGGATGGTACATTCCTGATCGTGGTGGCCTGAATAGAACAGTTGTATGACTCCCTAATGAAGGAACGTACGACTTTTGGAACTCACCTACTATCGCGATACCTATCACGATCAGCATATTCTCGTTCTCTTTCTCTATCTCGATCCCTTCGCTCGCTTCGTTCATCTGTTTTGCGGAACCTGTTATCTCGTCCACGATCCCTTTCTCTTAGTTTATCGCTACGGTGCGTACGACGCCTTTCTCGTTCGTGCCGTTCACGTCGTTTCCTGCGATCGTCGGAAGAAGATGATGTCGTCGAGCTGGATGAACGATTCCGACTTCTGAATATAATCACTTTACGCTATTCCCAACAGCAACGGCGGTAGGAAAAACAACATTCGTGAGAATTAAAGACAGTTACCGCGATCAAGTGCACCCAAAATGGCTCCGCGCATTTGGCATCGCTGTTCGCATTCGCAGAGAATAAATCACTTCCGCCACTCGAAACGGCGAGATTAAGAAGCTAGAGGCGTGATTATTGCAACCACGATTTCTTTCACTCTGCAAGCTAAGGGCTTACAGGCGGAATTGCAAGTGAAAATAGCGTTGGCTGGAGCGTCGTGATATTATTTCCTATGCTCTTGCCGGGAATTTGTTGCACGTCGAATCCTGCTGACTGGGCTCGCCGACGTCCGACAAACTCGTCCGAGGCGCCGGCTCCACTGCTAGCGGGGTTTCTGTTCAGAGTGTTTCAAGGCTTTTATCTGCTTCTTTCTCTCCTGGAGTTACTTATGAGCTACTGGTTCATGATGAGCACCTACTAGCCGTAACACTTGATCGCGGGAATTGTTTTTAACGTTCGAGGCGGCGTGTACTCCCGGGAGTACACGCGGAAACCCGTATTTCCAGTCATTCGTACAGGATTGCGAAAACACGCATTTTTTTTTGTTCTTTTTGCGACTGATTATATTCTACTGGCATATATTTACACAATTAACACATCAATACGAAGAAAAAATTGTAAAATAAGCAAAAAACAACGACGAACGCGAGTTCTGGGCGAAATGGCCTTCGCCTCGAATGTGTTAAAGTTAGAGGCACGAAAATAGAAATTAATGACGCTTGACTTATCACGCGTTCATTAAGATCAGACCTCATTCGTTTGCGAGGTCGCTCCCTTTCCCGATCTTTTCTGTGGAGGAACGCATCCCAGGCATCCATAATCTGCGGCTGTGGAGCACCGAGGGTCATCGTTGAAATAGGTGGCGGCTGATTGAATCTACAAAATAAGTTAAATTTCGTAAAATTGAATCAGCGAGATGGAAAAACGTACATATAGGAGGGTTGACTGGAAGCGGGTTGAACAATTATGTGGGATTGCAATGGCAAACCCACTCCAGGTATTGGAGGAAGGCTAGTTGCAGCTGCAGTGTGCATAGCTGAATGAGAATACCTTTAGGTGGTATATATTAAAAGCATAGTCTATACTCACGCTGTGGAAGAGGCAAATTAATCGTAGGAGGAGGAGGAACTGTAGCAGTTCCAGGTGGAAGCAATGAGTCTCCAGAAGATGATGAGCTTGCAACTGCTCCAGGAACTATATTAGGCGGAGGCTGGGAGAAGGACGCCGGAACCTGAACACAGGCATCTCAATACGTGAAAATACCGAAAATATCTGCAACAACATGCAAGGCAGACCGGTAGCTTTCAGAGAATGGTATTACCTCCGAAAAAAATGTAAGTCATACGGTAACATTAACGAACTCACCGGAATGGAAACAGGCGGTGCAACTACAAATGGATTAGGTGAGTTATGACCCGGAATAGTATCCGAAGTATGAGAAGTAGTAGTAGTAGTAGTCGTTGTCGTTGTTACTGGTGCAGAGGTCGACGATTGTGGGACTACCACGGGCGGTGGGGGAGTAGATGCAGCTGGTACTGTGACTGTCGGTTGAAGGCCAATTCTGAGAGAATTAGGATAAAACCACTTCTAGTGAAGGCTGTTAGAGAACACTCACCTGAACCTCATATGTTCCTGATCTTGATTTCCAGAACCTGGTCCGCCTATAGCCCATGCATGTGCAGCTTGACGCACTGTTTTGTTTGGCACCAGTGCATCTACGGACAGCTTAAAAAGTAAAATTTGCCAGGAAAAAAGATGCAGCTTTGATTAACAGTGATTTTCTCACTGGACTGCTAGGTGGATATTTTGTCGGCTTTAGCTGTGCCCTTTCCACAGGTAAGATCGCTCGATCAGAAGTAAATATTAAGGAAGCCCCATATACAATATCTGTTTGGTGCGCATTACTGATTGGAGCAAACGAAATAGCAGGTGGCAAGTTGCCAACAAGTTTTCTTTCTTGTTTGATCATCACAAGCCGTTCAGGAAATGTTCCTGTACCTCCTGCCTCTCAAGTGAAGGTTTCACAACAAAAGCGTTCCAGCATTCCATGCAATGTGACGTGAGTGAATAACGCTGAATTATTAAAACCCGCAAGCTAAACAAGGCCGTTGAGGAGAAATTCACAATTCACGACCCCTCTTGGAAGCTCCTCCACTGGCACGAACCCGTTCTCCATTTTAACATCCTACATACATTGTCCTACATTTACCATTGTCCTAAATTTTCCACTACCTACTTTGCTAGTTTCTAAAATTTTAAGAAAACTACCTGACGAGCGAGGGAGTGAGGGGGGAGAGGTTTAAAACGCGCATGAAAATGGAAAAGCCGACCGAGAAAATGCTACAACCGAAAACATTTTTCACTAAAGAGGTCCATACTACTCCACTCCTCTTCCCTCAGCGACCTACCTTGCTGAGGATCCCCAACGTACGGCGTGCTCTTAATATAAAGACGATTCAAATACGCCTGCATCGAAAACGAGTTCCCTTCCAGAAGTCTTCTCGGATATAATGCTGGTGTATAGCGCTATGTGCCTTAGGAGGATCTACTCTCCAGCGAGACTAGGGTGTTGTTCTGACGCGACAATGCCACGCCATCTAGAAAAGTGTGTACGGTGGCATGTTCTTATCTGTTTTCGACCAATACCACCCAAAATCGTCTAGCGTGCGCGACGTCAACTGGCGCGATGAATTACGATTCTCTTGCCACATACCCACTGTTGCTACTTCCCATCGACGTTTAGAACCATCAAGAGGGCAATGTTTCACCAGAATGAGACTTGTAAACCAGAACTAGTGAAGCAGCAAAAATGCTAAATCCCCCTCCCCCCCCCCGGACCGAACTGTGCCGCAAATGCCAGTATCTCAGGAGACCCATAATTTAAAAAAATAAAAGCAAAACTTCAAAACATATTTGGACTGAAAAGCATGCCAGACCTGTTTTTGATCACAGTTTTTGCCCGGACATGCGCGGTCGGTCGACTCCATCAGTTTATTGGAGATACAATCAGCGCAAAAAGAATGACCGCAACATGTGGTGAGCACAGCATCCTATAATACTAGTAATGGCTACTCATATACATGGCCCAATTTGAGCAATGAAGTGAAAAACACACCTTTAATAGGTGTGAGCACAACGGGCACGTAAGTTCTGGCGGTGGTACACGTTCCACTGCAGGACCTTCTTCTGTGACCTAAAGACAGGACTTTTTGAGAGACTATAACTTAAACTCTGTATGGATGGATTACGCGCCTTTTTGGTGTGTTGTCGTGCCTTCCAGTGCATGATTGGCACTACTAGCTTGCCTGATGGATGTAGCATGGCTAGCGGATCTTCGGCTGTCGTTTCCATAAGCTCTTGAGAAGGAATTCCAGTGGTTCGCTTCGTAGCCAACTGAAAACACATCAGTCGAACCGAAACGCCCCATAGATTGATGGGGCTACTTAGACCTTTAAATCAACGATGCCACCCTGAAGACGCGCTATGAGGTCTTATTTTCTCAGTGCAGCTGCTGCTATTGTGACTGCTTGTGATCTAATCTGAACGTCTCTTACGACGAGATCTACTTTCACGAGTTTTGCTTCAGCAAACATCCGATGATCTAACACAGAGGGGATGTAGCTCTTAGTTTATCGCAAAGACCCGAACAAATAAAACAACGCTCGGTATGTGGAGGCTCAGATTAACAGGTCACTTAGCCTCAACTTGAGGCCGCTTCTACTTGGAACTTGTGTACAATCACCGCAGCTAAACATTTCAACAATAAACAACATGACAGATACAGAAATACAAGAAAGATTGCTGGCAACAAGAAAAATAACATAAACCGACGATGTGTTCAACGAGACTTGAACATACCCGAAGTGTGTTAGGAAACCGTATAAGATATCTAAGTTTATAAATGGTGCTCCTAAAGAGGAGCAATTGGCAAACCCTAGCCGCTATCGGCTTACGGCGACCAAAAGGCGCATCCGCGCATCGATCGTGATTACCATTGGGCAGTTCTTGTACCAGTGACCAGGTTGGTAGCATCGATTGCATGTGTACGTTGGCGGAGGTGGTCCAGACATGATGTTCGTTGTCTTTTTTTGGAAACTGAAAGTTATACTTTACAGCACCGGCAACGTCAGAGATACCTTTTACAAAAAATTCTCTATACTGAAAAACATTTAGCCGTGGTAGCGGTAGAAGTAGGTCTGCTTTAACCGATCGAAAGACGTTTGGGTTCGACTCGTAAACTCGTAAACTAGTAAGCGTTGGATATTACATACCCCTCCCCTCTTAAGTGCGCTCATACTTTGCGACAACGTTATGAGGCTGCGTTTACACTTTGCGGCAGCATCCACCAGCGTTTATAGCGTCCGTCAGCGCCAGCGACAAAAGTACAGATATAGATCTAGCGAACGCCAGCGTCAACTAGCGTCCATCATCTTCAAGAAGTGGGAGTATTGGGAAGTATAATGGTACCATACTGCTGGTAGAATCTGGGAAGTAGAATGGGCAGACTGCTAGTGTAGGCGTCGTGAAATGGCGGCATGTGCAACAGCATCGCACGACTACTACACAGAACTGTACATGCTTACTTCTGTGCTGTAGCAGTTCTTTGGGGCAGTTGCACACGCCTCAGAGTCACGAAGC